CGGATCTCTGTGAGTTCAAGGCCAGCCTGGTCTACAGAGCTAGTCCAGGACAGGCTCCAAAGCTACAGAGAAACCCTGTCTCAAAAAAAAAAAAAAATAAAATAAAATAAAATAAAATTTAAAAAAAAATAATAAGCTGGGCGGCGGTGGTGCATGCATTTAATCTCAGGAGGCAGAGACAGGCAGATCTCTCTGTGAGTTCAAGGCCAGCCTGGACTACAGAGTGAATTCCAGGACAGGCTCCAAAGCTACACAGAGAAACCCTGTCTCTCAAAACCATAGTAATAAAGAGGAGGAGGAGGAGGAGGAGGAGGAGGAGGAGGAGGAGGAGGAGGAGGAGGAGGAGGAGGCGGCTGGAGAGATGGCACTGGCTACTCTTCCATGGGGATCTGGGTTCAATTCTCAGCATGTACATATGAGCTCACAACTGTCTATAACTCCAGTTCCAGAGGATCCAACACCCCCACAGACATGAATGCAGGTAAAACACTAATGCACATAAAATTTTAAATAAATTTTTTTTTTTTTTGTTTTTTGTTTTTTGTTTTTCGAGACAGGGTTTCTCTGTGTAGCTTTGCGCCTTTCCTGGAACTCGCTTTGGAGACCAGGCTGGCCTCGAACTCACAGAGATCCGCCTGGCTCTGCCTCCCGAGTGCTGGGATTAAAGGCGTGCGCCACCACCGCCCGGCAACATTTTAAATAAATTTTTTAAAAAGGTATATTTTAGAGGGTAGAGATATAACTCAGTGCTTGCCTAGTCATATGCAGTGACTTGATCCCAGGACTTGATCCCAGGACTTGATCCCAGGTTTGATCCCAGGACTTGATTCCAGGTTTGATCCCAGGACTTGATCCCAGGTTTGATCCCAGGACTGCCAAAGGCTTCAGAAAGGGTTTTTAAGAACTTGTTGGTAGTATATGTTAAGAATTTTTAAAAGGAATAAAATTATATTCAGTAGAGCCGCTGGAATTGCTATATGTCAGAACTTCCCACAGGAAGCTGTAGACATTTCTTCTAACTAGCTGTTGACAGTCCAACTTCTTGGTTACTCTCACATCAAGGATCCAGAGCAAAAATTTTTTTTGTCATTTTCTGGTTATTTCCTGCTGAGATTATAGTTTGTCTTCATTTTCCTACGATAAAGCTTAGACACTAGAGAAATGACATCCAAGTGCTTAACAAAGGAATAAGTATCTCAGAGGCTCCAAAGGACAGGAATTGATTGGTAGGTCTGAGCCCCAAACCAGGTCTGGTTGTAATCACACACATGAGAAACACACACACACACCCTATAAGGCCATTGTAACAGAACCATTCTTATCAGAATGTTGTCTGCATTGGGAGTTTATAGACTTGGTCTTATGGAAGAACCACCCCAATGGTCAGGAAGCACTTTCTCTACTTGCCATAACCTGAGTATGGTCCCAGACAGACTTCTTTCAATTTCCTGACCATTGATAGAATCACCTTAGAAGTTATAAGTGATTAGCAGGGTCCTGCCTTCTGAGGCTGCAAATCTTGTGCTTTGTAAAATAGAAGTACGCAGAGTTTATCCTTTGTCACCTGTATCACCTGCAGACACCTCCTTGCCACTGTGCTTTGTCACCTGTATCACCTGCAGACATCTCCTTGCCACTGTGCTTTGTCACCTGTATCACCTGCAGACATCTCCTTGCCACCGTGCTTCTGGTTGCCCCCCTTTGGTTCCACCTGTGTTGTCCTACATGAGGATAGAAGCAATTTGAAGACTGATGGGAAGGGTTAGCAAGGCAAGGCCTTTGGCTGCCACTTGGTTGGTTTTGCCGAGATATCATACATCTTCTGAGAAAGCCACAGCCTTTTCTTGCTCTTCCATTCCTGTGAACCCAGCTTGCCAGTGACCCTCACCTGCCATGTCCACCATGCTGTGTCTTTCCCATCCTTTCAAGCAGCTTTAGGGGTAAAACATCATAAAAATAAAGTTTACTCTAGTCACAAGACTGGTAATCTTCTAGGTAGGAGTTAGATTTGTTTGGATTACAGTAATCTGGTAGGAGGTTGACTAGATAAAATTGGCAAATTTGTTCATAGAACTTGGCTCCTCGAGTTTTTAGAATTGCATTGGGGCAGGAGGAAAAGTGTAACCAAGCAATATTTTATGTTTTCAGTATATAATGAAAGTTCCCGTTTTGTAAATGAAGGTTACTTGTGGCCTTTTCTTGAGGATTAAACAAACTCAGGAGTAAGCACACTTTACCACTGAGTAGCATCCCCAGCCATCAGTCTTTTCTAAAGCCACCCACCTCAACAGGCAAGATCTCAGTAGGATCTCCTTCCATCCAGTCCTGTTATGTGCTGGAAATGCAAATTATTTCAGTAGCAGCTTATATGTGTAATCTAAAAATCAAAAATGTGGTCCAAACTACCCTTAAACTCTGTGTTGCAGGGATGACCTTGAATTTTATGATTTTTCCTCCTCTACCTCTCAAATGCTGGAATTACAGACATCATACCAAGTTTTATATCATGCTAAGGACCCTTTATAAAGTATCAGGGCTTCGTGGTTGGTTGACAAGCACTCTATGAATTCTGCTGCATCTCCAGCTTCAATAACTAAAATGTTTAATGTAATTCACTGAAAATTGAGCATTTGCTCAGCCACAGCACTTGTCCTTAGATTCCACACATTAGTGATTTGTCTGAGGATGGGTTGTAGATGAGACAGAACTAAGCACTTCATTCTCTACCTGCCTCTTCCTCACCAAAGAAGCAAGGTATGTTTTTGGTTTGTTTGTTTGTTTTTGGTTTGGTTTTTCAGGACAGGGTTTCTCTGTATAGCACTAGCCAACCTCAAACTCACTCTGTAGACCAGGCTGGCCTGGAACTCACAGAGATCTGCCTGCCTCTGCCTCCCGAGTGCTGGGATTAAAGATGTGTACCACCATGCCTGACAAAATCATTTATGTCTTAAAGCATCTTTTGTACGACTGATAATGTAGCCCCGTGGTAAAGTACATACCTGGCATGGATGAGGCCCAGGGTTCACCCCCCAGCTCTGTGATATCTGTCCTGAATGGGTCATGCCTCTGGAACAAATGAACATTCATGTTCTTGTGAAACAAATACTGGGAAGCCAAGGAGGCCCTCTGGCTCTGTGGTTCCCCGAGGCACATTCCAGGAAGGCATTCCCTACCCAGGCACTGCAGCCTCTGCCAGCCTTTCCAGGTGCACCAGCATCAAAGCTGGAGAGACAAGCGCGCCAGTCAGGACATATCTGAACTCACACTCCCCACAGGTACTGTTTGATATGCTGGATCCCTGGATGAAAGCAGAATAAAAGAATGAGAGGCCCTCTTCATTTCTTCCTCTGGGAATGGAATTTGTGAGGAAGCCTAGGGTACCACTGGGGCAGAAACACAAGTACCTACTCAGGAGTCTAGGAGCCTTGATCTCAAGTAGAGGCCTGCTGCCCTAAGGAGCTTAATGGAAGAGAACAGTCATGCCACCTCACCTGTTCTGAGGCTGGACTGAAAGATGCAGTGACTTAAGATGCAGTGCTCAAGCACTTGCTTAGCATGAACAAAGCCCAGGTTTGACCCCAGCACTACCAAGCAAAAAAAGTGAAAGACTGAAGCTTAGGAGCTGGCTTTCTGATTTTCAGTCTCAATTTGTTTTTAAGGAAGATACCTGTAGGACAGGGACATATCCCACAGCACTGTACCCAGGATTCCTGGGTTTCTTAAGCTTCCAAGGAACGTGCTTTAATCCCCAGTGTCACTCATTTTTGACTTAGGTCCCAAGTGCAGTTGAGTGGCTTAAAAAGCAACGAGGTGACACTGCCCTCTAGTGGTTCAGTAAAGTCATTAGTCGTTTTTGTTGATGGTCTTTGGGTTTGTGCACCTGTCAGTACAGATTATTCCTGTGGAAGGCATTTGGATTTATTCTCTATTTATTTATTGGGTTTATTCACTGTTTGGACCCACAGTGACATGACCTCTGAGCACTGCATGATATTTGCCCATCTTTTAACATGCTGGTTTTGGAATTTGTTTTGTTTTCCGTGTGTGTGTGTAGCGGCTGTCTCTGTTACACTAGTTCAAATCCTAAAAGCAAGGGGGATCTGTCTCATTTCTTCTTCTGCAGACTCAACTCTGTTGTTCACTTAGCTGGAGATAAAATTAGAAGGTTCACTGAGGTGGAAAGGAATCTTTTCTTCCATCTTTTCCTCTACCCCAACATCAAAAAAAAAATTCTATCCCTTATTTGTTTCTGAGCCTTCTTGTCTTGTCCCTCTGACCTCTGGTTTTCCAACTGGTGGGATCAGCTGGGTCCTGAGAGCTTATGGAACTCAGCTTCCTGAGCCTGCCTCTAGCTCCACTGAACCCGTCTGTGGTCAGAGCCAGGAAATCTGCTTTACAAACTTCCCAAGTGGTTTTTGATGTGCAGCCAGGCTTGGCAGCCAACTGCTCTAAATCCCCACTTATTATTTCTTGTAACCCCCCAACAGTGTCTCCAAAGGTTTTCAGCTTGTGTCACGTGTTAAAAGTGACCATTTTGAGATTCATTCAGAAATAGTCAACATTCTATTCTAACTGGATGACATGGGAAGGAAAAAAGGACCACAAGAGACAAACCAAAGGCGTTTACTCTGGTTTCCAGGGGCAGTGTGTTCATAGCAGAAAATACTAAAGCCGGTACCTCTGTACTGGCTGGGCAAGGTGCCCACCCATAGACTTGTTTTTAATGTTCCAGCGATGTGGGAGACAGGCTTCTACAGTAGTCAGTTACTCGTTTCCACCCATTCTAAGTCACTGGGCTCTTGGGATGATAGGACAAAGAAGGTGGCGGTATCTTCTGTTTTTCAGATGAGAATGTCAAGGCTTGGGAAAGTAGAACAACTTGCTCAGAGGCACGGATATTGTTTGCTGTCTGGTTCTGCATTTGAAGCCATGTCTAATTTGTAAGGCCAGTGTTGGCAGGCTCAGAAGACAGTACCAACCTGCTTTTTTCATTCCACCAGGCCAAGAGAGCAGTTCAGCGGGGGGCCACTGCAGTTATCTTTGATGTATCTGAAAACCCAGAAGCCATCGACCAGGTAAAGCTCCACCAAAACCAGTCCTACTGTCTGCCTGAGAGGCATTTGCTTTGCTTATCTTGACTGGGCACTGTTGTGACACCTTTGTCTCAGATTCTTTGCACCTGTCTGTCTGCTGAAGTATATTACTATATGCCTGTGTTGAGTATCATACCCTGAGGGAGGCATATAGAAAGTGGTTATAGGCCGGGAGTTAGGAATGAGGGACATTTTCAAATAGTCTTCTGGGCTTTCAGCCAGCTCAGCCCATCTTAAAACAAGTATAGCACCCTATCCTCCCCTTTCTGGGAATCCCAAGGCTATAATGCTTGAAGACTTAAAGAATTTCCAAGTGGGGATTTAGTGTTCTTTTTTGTGTGTGCATTCATGAGAGTGCGTGCTTGTACATGCATGCTTGTGTGTGTGTGTGCACATGCGTGTATATGTGTGATGAAAGCTAGACCTTGCATGTGCCAGACAAGTGCTCCCGTACTGAGCCGCATCCCAAACCCTATCTTGCTTCTTAAAGTAAGCATGTCTTTTAATTGGTGCCCTCTCTTCTTTGTCAGCTAAACCAAGGCTCAGAAGACCCTCTTAAGAGGCCAGTTGTGTATGTGAAGGGTGCAGATGCCATCAAGCTGATGAACATTGTCAACAAGCAGAAAGTAGCTCGAGCAAGGATCCAGCACCTCCCTCCTCGAGTGAGTGGCGACATGTCTGTTGTCCTCCCAGTGCCTTTGTTTCCTGTGAGCTTTGCCTTTCTGCCCTCTTGTCCCTCCATCTAGAATCCTGGCATAGTGTAGGTTCCTATGGTTGAGCTCAACTATGGAACAGGAAAACAGAAATTTTCACCTCAATTTCTTTATTTGTAAAAATTTGTAAAAGCTTACAGAATAGGCATTGTATGCTGTGAAGTCTGGTCTCTCCACCTGGTGTTGCCCCTTTTCGGCCCATCCTTCTGAGAGACAAGCTGAGAAAGATAAAGGGGTGACATGGTTAGCGCTTGGTTTCCTGGTCTCTTCCTTCCATCTGACCTAGAGATGAGAAAAGCCCTACACTTCCTTTCTTTCAGTCAGGTAGATTGCTCACTTAAAACTCTCTGACTCACAAATAAGAACATTAAGAATTACTGGGGCCTGGGACTGACATTCGTTGGTGACAAGTAGCAGTCAGGCATCTCTTCGCTGTGCCAAAGCAATATTACTGCCCACTGATACTTGACAGACATCTTCTCCTCAACCTTGGATAATCTGGGGCTGGTGGCCATATGTGTTTTCTTTCCTCCTCACAATTAACTGAACTGTTCCCATGCAGAATGATTCTTCCACCTGCACCAAGTGTCTGGGTAGCACAGCATCTCACTAGGGTTCTGTTTTCATTGGCTAAGTGGATGACCGAGGTGTAGCAGCTTCCGGTGGCAGAAGGCAGTGTTGTGTGCAGGAAGGATAAGAGCTGCCAAGTGTAGCTCAGTTGGTAGCGGACTTGTCCAGCATCCACAAAGCACTACCTAAAGCCCCTGTAAGGCACACTTAGACGGTGGTGGTAGTAAGGTCAAGACCAGCTTAGGATAAATGCTGCCTCATACCCTCTACCCCACCCCAAGAAAATACGGGCTGTTTGCAGAACTGAATTGCTGGCTTCATTTTGAAGGGAAAAGGGACTCTTTGGTAAACGTGATTCATTGTAGTGGAAGCTGATATTTGTGGAAGCACCATACAATTTTCTGAGTTGTTGTAAACCATTAATTATATGCTTAGTAATCACTATTCCCTCAAAACACAACACTCACTCCTTTGTCTATAACTGATTGTTTGTGTTTATCCAGAGGAGCCTTTCTCTCTAGGTATACCAAACTTGGCACTGTGTTAATGGGAGACCCAACTTTACAAATGGCTCTCAGCTCCTAGGAGGCCCGAGACCACTGTAGCTCCCCACCCCATCCTGTGTTCATGTGAGCAGAACCCCAGGCGCTTCCTACACACAGAGGGATCCTGTCTCACTCATCCATTCCATTTCCTGACCAGGACTGACAGCCCACATGCCCACAATCAGGCCAAAGAGAACATGGCTCATGGCATTTGTCTTCTATTCTAGCAACCCACCGAGTACTTTGACATGGGGATTTTCCTGGCTTTCTTCGTCGTGGTCTCCCTGGTCTGCCTCATTCTCCTTGTCAAAATCAAGTTGAAGCAGCGTCGTAGTCAGGTAACCCCTAAGAGCAACCTGTGAACCCCATTGCCCTATTGCTGATGAAAGTTAGGAGTCTAGCCAACCTGCTGTCCATGGCACCCATCCTTTCTCGGGGCCTGAAGAATGCCAAACCTCAAGTGCTGAGCCCTCATGTTGAGAAGGGCAGGCCTGCAAAGGCATCAGCAGTGGGGGTATTCCAAGCTAGTAGTTTGAGGGAAATGTCCAATAAATGTTGTTTTGGAGCATAAGACCTTTGCTTCTCAGGTAGATCTAAGGTTGGTAGAAATACAGACTGTCATGTCCCCAGGTCTTGTGATGAAATTTGCCCTGCCAGGCCCTTCTGATGACTCTTGATAAACAGGTAGCCATAGTAGAAGACCTGCAGGCAGAAGGTGGTGAGAGGAGGGTAAGCAGGATCCTAGACTTCGAGATGTGTGGCAGTGTGACACCTTGGAGAGAAGGTACCTTGGAGAGTGACAGTCAAAAGGAAAATGGTTTCAGTTGTCAGGAGGGCTGAGGAGCCGTCACCAGCAAGAACAGGGATTATGGGCTGGTATTTATGCACTCACACTGCATATCAGATGCTGAGCACTCGCGTGAACTCTCATTTCCCTAGCATTTGGCAAAGGGCCTTCTGAAAACCAAACGCCCACAGAGGTGAGAAGTATCAAGGACTTACCTTAAAGGGAAGACTTTGGAGTAGGGTCACTTGGGAAAATCTTGGAACAATGTCATGAGTACTCGTTTGTTTGTTTGTTTGTTTGTTTTTGTTTTGTTTTTCGAGACAGGGTTTCTCTGTGTAGCCTTGGAGCATGTCCTGGAACTCACTCTGTAGACCAGGCTGGCCTCAAACTCACAGAGATCCGCCTGTCTCTGCCTCCCGAGTGCTGGGAGTGACCCTATGAGTACTCTTAAGGGTCTAGAAAATACAGTGACAGGATGAGTTTTTTGTTTTGAGCAGTTTCTCAAGAGTCTGGCCTGAGTGAGACTAGTGTTGTCTGTCCCAGTGTTCTGTGTGACATGGCCCAGGGTGTGACTACCACTGTTAATGTGTACCAACACTGACCGTGCTCTACCATGCAGAATTCCATGAACAGGTTGGCCGTGCAGGCTCTGGAGAAGATGGAAACCAGAAAGTTCAACTCCAAGAGCAAGGGGCGCCGGGAAGGAAGCTGCGGGGCCCTGGATACACTTAGCAGCGGGTCCACATCTGACTGTGCCATCTGTCTGGAGAAGTACATTGATGGAGAGGTAGTGACAGAGACAAGGCCTCTGAGTGGGAAAGGGATGTACGGGTTCCCAGAGGTGCTGGGGACCACCATGACCAGAGTTCCCCACAACCTTGATTCAATGTCCAGGCTTTTACCAGTATTTCTCCTAGGAGCTGGGAAGACACAGTACTCTATAGATGGTCAAGGTAACTAGATGACTTTAGAAGTTGATCAAAAGTACGTAGATTCCAGGCATGGTAGCACATGCCAGTCATTCTAGTTCTAGCACTTGAGATGTTAATCAGGAGAATTGTGAGTTTGAGGTCCTGGCTCCAAAAAGAAAACAAACAAACAAAAAAGTACATGGTTAGACAGAAAATACGTAGACGTAAGAACAAGTTGTTTGGTTTGCTTCAAAGAAGTGGTTCTGTGGTGTGTTCACTTGGAAAAAGTCAAGAGATTTGATGCCTTCCCCCACTCCCACTTGTAGCTCTTTATTAGAAGTTGCAAGAAAAGTACTAGGAGCAGCATAAACCATTCACCTAGAACCACCTCTCATTAGCGTTTGCTGTCTTTGCGCCTGTCTCTAGTTGGTTAGGTGCACACGAAGTAGGGAGCAAACTGCTTGAGAGTCCAGGCCTCGGACAGCCCCTGGATGAGAGCACACTGATGCAGATTGCTGGGCGGAAGTGCGTTTGCACACAGGCTCTTGGAATGATACTCTTGCATAGACTATAAGTACAGACTCCTGGGTTCCAACCTAGCCCAGGCAGGTTCTTGGTTTGTGAACTTGGCAAGTGGCTTCATCCTGTGTCTGCACTTGTGATGCCAACCAGCATACTAGATGCTCACAAAGGCTACTTAGGTGAGAAAGTACAGACATCCTGAAGTACCACATTGGTTATCAGTGTGAGTATCACTGTGTCAGACTGGTGAGAAAATAAAAGAGTAACAAGAACAGTCAGGAGGATGCTTGGAAAGCCCATCACATTCTGTCATAGGCTGCTTTCCTTAGAAGCCAGGTGGCCCCAGCAAGTGTCCCTTTCTACTTGACCTCCTTCAAGGATGCCTAGAAGTAAACATCTGTAGATGGTACAGCAGTTCTCAGCCTTCCTTATGCTGTGACCCTTTAATACAGCTCCTCATGTATGCTGACCCCAACCATGAAATTATTTTCATTGCTACTTCATAACTGTAATTTTGTTACTGTTATGAATCCTAATGAAAATACCTGTGCTTTTGGATGGTTGGGGGGGGGGATGACCCATAGGCTGAGAACCACTGCTCTACACCAACATAGTGACCTAGGGTGTTTGTAACTCTCCCTGCAAACCCCATGCTCCCTAGCCCGAGGCTTTGGACTTAGGTGTACCCTCCAACTCCTGGAAAGGAACCCGCTTCCTTGTATTCTTTGTCCTTTAACCCTAAGGAATGTGATTGGGCCAAGTGGATTGGGCAGTTTCCTTCTCCCTATGGGCCCTACTTTAAGGAATGAAACTGGCCTTTAGTTGGAGTTAGGGAAGAGAGTAAGAAAGTGTTTTAACTTTCCATTTCTATGACAAATGTCTGCAGTAATAAGCATATAAAGAGCAGAGGTTTGTTTGAGCACATAGTTTTAGACATTTTAGCCCATGATCGTTTGACTGCAATCCTTTAGGCTTATAGGAAGGCAGCATATCATGACAAGAACATGTGATGGATAGGACTGAAGAGACGCCTCAGTGGTTAGGAGCACATGTTTCTTTTGGAGAGGATCTGAATTCAGTTTCTAAAACGCATGTTGGGTGGTTCACAACTACCTGCAACTCCAGCTCCAGGAAACTAGCGCCCTCTTCACCCTCCTCAGGCAACTACACTCACATGCACATACTCAATACAAACATGTAAGCATGCATACATATAATTAAAAGTAAAAATTAAGGCCAGGCAGATCTCTGTGAGTTCAAGGCCAGCCTGGTCTACAGAGCCAGTTCTAGGACAGCCAGAACTACACAGAGAAACCCTGTCTCTAAAAACCAAAAAAAAAAGTAAAAATTAAGGCAGTCTCTTGCAAAATGCAGCTGTGCTGCTTTGTAAGTCTGCCTGTATTTCTGAATTACTCAGAAAAAAATATGCCTTCTCCTTTTCTTCTTCCTTGTTCTTTCTCCATGTATCTGACCTCTATCTATGCCAGCTAAACTCAATGGCATGGCTCCCTTCTCTCCTCCATTCTCCTCTGAGCAACTGCTGAGATACACTGCTTTCCTACCCTGAAAGTTTTCTCTTTATCTCTAATAAAATTTATCATCAGGCTTAAAAATAAATAAATAAACCAGGTGGTGGTGGTGCAGGCTTTTAATGCCAGCACTTGGGAGGTAGAGGCAGGTGGGTCTCTATGAGTTTGAGGACAGCCAGGGCTACACAGAGAAACCCTGTCTCAAGAAACCTAAAAAATAAGAATAAATAAGTAGATCTTCAAAATGGCTTACCAGAAGGATATAAAAAAGAGGGAGTGAGTAAACCAGGTCCCACTAGGCCCTCCTTCCTGGTACTGCCAATTTAGGAATCCTTAAGATCCATATTATAGCAGGAGGGCACCAGCACACTGCACAGGGCTATTCTGTCCCCGATAGGGTCCATTGGAGGAGGCATATGTGTGAGACTGAAGGCAGAAGTACCCTTCCTTCTGTCCATCCTTCATGCTATGTCCCTCTCTCTCCCCTTTCCAGGAGCTTCGGGTCATCCCCTGTACCCATCGGTTCCACAGGAAATGTGTGGATCCATGGCTGCTCCAGCACCACACCTGCCCCCACTGTCGGCACAACATCATAGGTAATTGTTAGAGCCTCAGAGGCCACTGTCCTACAAGTATGATAAGTCCTTGACGCATGCTCATGAGCAAGCTGAAGCAGCACAGCATGGGCCTCGGGCCTGCAGCTGTGCAGGCCTTAGGGTCTGAAACTTGGCTGCACAGTTCTAAGCAGAGCCTGGCATTAAGGATCCCTTTTAGGGGCAGGTGATGTGGCTCAGTAGTAGACTGTTGCCTAGAGCATGCAAGGTCCCAGGTTTGACACACCCCTCACCCTGATACTCCCCCTCTAAAGAAAATCCGTCTTCCATTCAAGTTTGGGTTTCCAATTAAACAGGACCCTAGCTGGGTGTGCTGGTCTACACATGGGATACCCAGCACTTGGGAAGTAGAGGCAGGTGTTCAAGGTCATCTTTAGCTGCATAGCAAGTTGGAGGCCAGGCCGGGGTACATGTCTAAGGAAAGTAGAAAACAATAAACCCTGGCATCCTGACCTGGCCTCCCTAGGCCTAAAGCCTCCTCCTGTCTCTTTAACAGGTGACAGTAAGGTTGACTGCCCAGTTCTAGGCTAGAGGATTGTTTCCAGAGACACAGGGGATGATGAATATGCAAATAGCACTGTTTGTTGCTGTGCCCATGTCATCATTACAGAGCAGGGGGGGAGACACTTGGATTGTTGTTTTTGTTTTGCTCTCAGTAGACTCTGGGGAGATGGGAAGAGACAGGTCAGCCTCTGCCAGCTCAGCTGAACTTGGCTCAGCTTACACTGTGGCGGGGTCAAGCAGAGTCTCCCTGGCACAACAGCTTCCCTTGATGCTTCAGCCTCTGCCCATTACCTTGTTTCCTCCACCTTTTCCAGAGCAAAAGGGAAATCCAGGTGCTGTTTGTGTGGAGACCGGCAACCTTACACGTGGTCGGCAGCCAAGAGTGACCCTGCCGGTACATTACCCAGGCCGTGTACATAGGACCAATGCCATCCCAGCCTACCCTACCAGGACAAGTATGGACTCCCATGGCAATCCTGTCACACTGCTGACCATGGACCGGCATGGGGAGCAGAACCTCTATTCTCCACAGACCCCCACCTATATCCGTGGCTACCCACCCCTGCACCTGGACCACACTCTGGCCCCTCACCGCTGCAGCCTAGAACACCGGGCCTACTCACCAGCCCATCCCTTCCGTAGGCCCAAGTTCAGTGGCCGCAGCTTCTCCAAGGCAGCTTGCTTCTCCCAGTATGAGACCATGTACCAACACTACTACTTCCAGGGTCTCAGCTACCCAGAGCAGGAGGGCCAGCCGATACCCAGCCTTGCACCCAGGGGCCCATCCCGTGCCTTTCCACCAAGTGGTGGCAGCAGCCTTCTCTTTCCCACTGTGGTGCACATGGCCCCTCCCACCCACGTGGAGAGTGGCAGCACTTCCAGCTTCAGCTGCTACCATGGGCACCGTTCTGTGTGCAGTGGTTATCTGGCAGACTGTCCTGGCAGTGATAGCAGCAGCAACAGCTCTGGCCAGTGCCGCTGCTCTTCCAGCGACTCCGTGGTGGACTGCACAGAAGTGAGCAACCAAGGTGTGTACGGGAGCTGTTCCACCTTCCGCAGCTCCCTCAGCAGTGACTATGACCCCTTCATCTACCGAAGCCGGGGGCCCACTGTACACCTTGAGGGCTCCCCACCACCAGAGGAGCTCCCGGCAGCACACAGTCAAGGTGCTGGGCGGGGTGAGCCATGGCTAGGCCCTGCCTCTCCCTCAGGGGACCAGCTGTCCACCTGCAGCCTGGAGATGAACTACAGCAGCAACTCCTCACTGGAACCCAGAGGGCCCAACAGCTCTACCTCAGAAGTGGGGCTCGAGGTTTCTCCTGGGGCCGCCCTGGACCTCAGGAGGACCTGGAAAGGGGGCCCAGAGGGACCATCATGTGCTTGCTGCTTTGATCCCCAGGCCTCTTCCCTGGGTCCTGGAGCAGGAGCAGCTGCTGGTGGCAGCACCTTATTCCTGGGTCCCCGGCTCCTGGAGGACTGCAACCCTACAAGTGGAGACCCACAACCAGGGGGCTCCCAGGGCCTGTATGGCCTTCACTCAGACCATTTTCCCAGGACAGATGGGGTGAAATATGAGGGCCTGCCCTGCTGCTTCTATGAAGAGAAGCAGGTGGCCCACAGTGCTGGCAGGGGTAATGGCTGCTACACTGAAGACTATTCAGTGAGTGTGCAGTACACACTCACCGAGGAACCCCCACCCAGCTGCTATGCAGGGGCCCGGGACCTGAGCCAGCGCATCCCCATTATTCCAGAGGATGTAGACTGTGACACGGGCTTGCCTCAAGACTGTCAAGGGGTACACAGCCACAGCTCCTGGGGTGGGATGCTGGGCTTGGACGTCCCCCGACTCCACTGGAGTCTGGGGACAACCCGGGAAGAGGAACAGGCTCCGTGCTACCAAGCCGAGGTGCCACTGCAGCCTGGCTGCTCTCCAGAGGAGGCAGATGCTTCCAGAGCTAGCCTCTCCAGTCCCTCCCAGGACACTCAGGAGTCCCATGCCCTGGCTGCTGAGGCGTCAGGTGAGAACAGATGATAGTAGGTATTTGTATAGGGGTCCTCTTCTCAGGCCTTTTCTGTTTGGCTTCTTCTGTGACTTGGCTTCTGTACTTGATGGCTTTCAAACATTGCTTCTCAGCCCCACCCGTCTTCAGACCCTCTACCCATGCATCTCTTCCCTTCAGATGCTTCACACCCCAAAAGTAATCTCAATTTCATCAACTATTGTGCATCTCCATGGTCCCCTTAGTCCATCCCTGGGCCTCTTAGCAAAGTCCTCCTGACAGACCTCAATGCACTTGCCTGCTGTCCCACTTGGGAGACCTGAGTTACGGTCTTTACACTAGAGATGCTGTAATGACTCATTGCCTTTATAAGATGTAAGATGTCTTTGGGGGAGGGTGGGGAGTGGGTTGGTTGGTTGGTTTTGGTTTTGGTTTGGTTTTGGTTTTTGGTTTTTCGAGACAGGGTTTCTCTATGTAGCTCTGGCTGTCTGGAACTCACTCTGTAGTCCAGGCTGGCCTTGAACTCAGAGATCTCCCTGCCTCTGCCTCCCAAGTGCTGGGAATTAAAGGTACACAAATGTCTTCTAAATGGAGCTGCTCCCTTGATCCAGCCTTTGTCCCATCCCTGCAGCATGTCAGGTTCCTTTTCCTCTCCAGACCTCTTTAGAGCTCAGTCAGTCAGCTAAGTGGCCTTCCTTTCCCATCTGTATCACTCTGACTCCCTCTGCTCTTTGCTAAGTCACCTCAAGCCACGCATCCACCGATGGGAAGGTCTGTGTGATCTGTGAAGGGTGTGAAGGGTGTGGTGAAGGGTCTCCTGCTCTTTTGGTGCCACTAGGAATTCACTTTTCTACGTTATGCTTCCATGACATCCCAGGGCTTCCAGAAGATTCTCTAGAGCCAAACAAGGGAGACCTGTCCCCCAGAAACAACCATGTAGACTTGAGCCTCTCAGGAAAGAAGCCATTGCTGCCCCTCCCCGTATCACTCACATAGTCCACCCGCCATTGTGAACTGTCACTCCCAAGCAGCCCGCCTTCCCCGTCCATCCTGCCCAGAGCCTGCTGTACCAGCTCTCTCCACAACCCTGATGGCTGTTCTCCCTCTCTCCCAGGACCAGGATCTGGCCCAGGCATCGGTACGGGAGCTTGAGCTCAGAAGGAACTCTTTTGTAAAAATCAGGAACTGTACGGAGACTTCAAAGTCTGGCTTCCTTCAAAGCTAATATATATTAGTTTTATATATTAGTTTTGACAAACACAAAAGTGGTAATAAAGAGAGCCCGCCTCAACCCAAAATGTGAGCCACCTGTGGCATCCCCTCCCCATTAACAAACCAACAGACAAAAATCTCTTGAGTCCTTTGCCTCTTTTAATAATGTTTTATTCTGTTTTGTAATGTGTGCTTGGGGTTCTGAGGTATATGGGATTGAGTTCTCTGCTTTTTTTTCCCTGAGATGTTATATGTAAATGTAAAAAGTTATTTAAATATATATTTTAAAGAACCCTAACCACCAACTTTCGTTGAAAAAGAAAAAAAATCACTGCTGCATTAAATGAACCACATCCTGTGTGGATGCTGTCGTCTCCTCGGAGGGACCTCAGGCCTTTGAAAAGCTCAGGGCTGCACCTGCCTTATTGAAATGACCAGAAACTTGAAGTCAAAAGCTAGTAGATAGGGGTACAGACTCTGAGGAACAATGCAAAGCTGCCTCTCCTTTTCCCCTTTTTTGAGGCCAATCTAGACTTCAGGGCTTGGGGGAAGCCACACCTCTCCTGCCCACACTTGTAGGCAGCCATGGAAGCTGCAAGGAAGAGGAGGGAAAGGGAGGTGTCAAACTGTTGCTGCCTAGGCTCAAGGCTGTGGGAGGCAGTTGTGCCCATTCTCTTCTGTTCCTTTGGGTCATCACCTTTGTCTCAGCAAAATCCGGGACGACCAGCCCTGTCATTGGGCGCTCTCCTGCACTCTGACCACTGTGGCAGGGAAGAGACGCTCTCACCCTTACTGTCCAGCTCTCCAGTCTTCTGTAAAATTGTTTCGGGCTTCATGCCATCAATTGCAGAGGTGATCTGAATGGGATTTGCAGGGCAGACACCCAGGAGGAATGTTGCTTTGTGGCCTTGGTGTCCTGTGGGACTGGAGGAACAAGCTCTCCTCTCACCCAGCAGCGGTGCACTGCCTCTTGAAGGAAGGCATGCTGGGGCACACCTGTGCCCATGGGTCTGGGGGCAGCCACACCCCTCGGCTGTTGCTCCCTTCCTTAGGTTACCTTTGTAAGGGGCACATGCTTGACCCACAGGGGTGTGCACCAAGCTTCATTTTAACAAGTTTCCCATCCCCAGAACATGGCTTCAGGGCTCTTCGGGCCCCTGCCTGGTGGCTGCAGTGGCCCACCCCACCAGCAGATGTCTGCTAGCCTGTCTGCCTGATGCACTATTATGTACCGATTCTCCACGAGACAGACTATCAGATAGTTCCGACCCAAAGGGTAGGCTTTGTATATTTTTTCCAGCCTCTTCTTTTTAAGGGGAAGGGAGAGTTTTTTAAGCCCAAACCACTTTTGGTTGTGTTGTTTTACTGTTGTGTTGTTATTGTTTTGAAGATGTTTTGTTCGTTTTTTAAAAGGGAGAGAGAATCTATTTAAAACTACTTCAGGGATTGTAATCCTTTTTGTCCAATATAGTCCTTGTTCTTAAAAATGTTTTCTTTTCCTTAGAGGAAACTAATCAGGTTGGCCCTGTGTCGCTCACTCTTCTGGTCACTTTTATGCGTTCATTTAGCAGATATCTTTTGCCATCAGAAGGAGTTTGGCCTCGTGGGTCTGAAAGCTCAGTACAGAACCTTGACACCTGGGGAAACGGGGACTCCCAGGAAGTCAGCCCAAAGACCAGACTGCGTATTTTGAGACTATCAGAATGCTTTGTTCTTTAAAACCCCATCCTAAGATGAGGACGTTGACTTATTTCTAGCCAGGATCTGACAGAAAGAAGTCCCCACATCAGATCCAGCCATTTACCTTTAGGAAGTGGCCATGGTGAAATTTGTCCTTCCACCCAACTCTGGGGATCTGTCCTTTGAGGGTTCCTCCCCAGGCTGTGCTCCTGTTGGTGAGGGTGTGAGAAGGGCCTAAGCTGTTGACATGTGATTGGGGTTGCCTTTATTTCTGGGGCCAGCAGTTGCAGCTGCTAAGAACAACAGCTTGCCTTACTGTGCAGTGGGAGTGGGGGCACAGCTTTTAACATGGACCGCAAAGTGCAGCTTCTCACTGTTGAGATGGCTTTTTGTTGTTGTTGTTTTCTTTTTTTTTTTTTTTTCCTGCTTTTGCTTTTTTGTTTTTAGTGTCTGCGTGTGCATATCTCTCCCTTGGCTGAAACAAACCCCAGAAAGGCTTGTCTTTGCCCTGGCTAGAAAACCACTTCCCAGTAGTCTTACACAATACATTAATGAATAGAGAATTTGAATGCCACTGGGAGGTAAATGAACAAGTCCAGCTCTCCCCTGAAAGAGTGGTAATGGCGGAGGGCAGACACTTGTTTGGGGTAGTAGAAACAAAAGGAAGATTTAGAAACAGTCATCTTTGTGCTGCCTCATCAGACCAGAACAAAATTACCTGTCAGCTATCTCATGTCACCCTTTCAATAAAAAGAGAGAGAGCTGTGAAGCTCTAAGGCTCCAATACTGGTAACAAGTACCCTCTTTGGGGGAGGGGGAGGGGGAAATAGAACATCAGTAGTGTGTGGTAATTGCATAATAATGGACACGGAGCACCCCACTTTCCCCTGGGAACTTCTATACCATCTAAGTGTGTGATAGCAAGTATGAGCTTGATATCAGCTCTGGGTGTAAACCAGTCGTATCAACTCTAGAATTCTAGAATTCGATGAAAATGGAAGTTTGGGCATTCTGATCCTTGAGGTGTCTCTGTGGTCACAGCACCCATAGCTGACGGTTCCCCTCTCCTCCAGGCCCAGGCCATGTTACTGGGTTCCATCTTCAGTCCTGTGGTTCAGGCCCTCCCCAATGTCTTCTGGCCTCAAAGTTCACACAGGACTAATGCTTTTAAAATATGGTCTATAAAAGAATTGGTTGAAAATATCTTTTAAACTGATCTGCCTTTTTCTATTCCTTACATAAACTTTTTGTATTGTTGGTCTAACAAGACACTTTTTTTTAATTTCTCCCATAGCACTTAAGATTTTTGTAAAGACTTTGCTGTAAAGGCTTTGTGATAAAATGGTCTAAGGGCTCTTTTCAACATTACCAATTGAAAAACTGTTTTTAAAGCTAGAAAACAACTTATGTATATTCTGTATATGTATAGCAACACATTTCATTTATGGAAATATGTTCTCAGAATATTTATTTACTAATATATTTATCTTAAGCCATGTCTTATGTTGAGAGTGTGACATTGTTGAAATAATCATTGAAAATGACTAACAAGGCCCTGTAAATACATGATAATTGCACACAGATTTTACATATTTGCAGACCAAAAATGATTTAAAGCAAGTTGTAGTCTTCTATGGTTTTGTAACAAATTGTACAAATGACTATAAAAAAAAAATACAATTTTATCAAGTATGTGTTCCATGTGGTCATTGCTATGGTTGGCTAAAGTCTAGCGCCTGCTACCTCACACAGACGTGTGCTCTGTTGACAGAGTCCAAGTTATGGGGTTTCCAGTCATCAGAGTATTGGCTAGAGTCTGGGTTTTATCCTTACATAGCAGTGTGTGGCAGGAGCCAGAAGCAAGGTGACCACAACTTCCAGGCCAGCCTGGACTATAGAGTGCATTCAAGGCCAGCCTGTGCAATTTAATGAAATCCTGTCTCAAAAAAGTAAAAAGTGTGCTGGGTATGCAGCCTGGTCGTAGAGCACCTGTCAGCAGTCAAGCTTCTAGGTTCAGTCCCCCATAGCTGCCTTGCCCTGCCTCGCCCTGCCTCTTATCCCCACCCGCACACCCTCCAGAAAACCCAGCTGGGCATGGTGGCTTACAACTTTAATTCTTGTGCTTG